TCTCCTTTGGCACCACCGCCTAGGTCACCCTGCGCTCCCGCGTCTGCGTCACATGTCCCAACACGGTCTCGTCCTTGGTCTCCCTGGTTCGTTCCCTGCTTTTCCCTCCTCCCCCGCCCCACTGCCCGCACCCTTCCTTGCGTCTTCCTAAGTTTCCCCCTTGACACGTCCGACTGGCACTTCTACCACCCGCCGTCTTACCGGTTCTTTCACTCTCGCGACGTCACCTTTGACGAGTCCGTCTCCTTCTACCGTCGCTTCCCCCACCGCGGTCCCCCGGTTACTCCCCCCCTGTTCCTGGTCACTCCTTCCCCGGTGGTCCCTGCCCCCCCCCCTCCCCCTCCGCGTCCTGCCCCCTCTGGTGTGTCCCACGTCACCCTTCTCCCGTCGGTTGTCCCGGTCGAGGAGTCCTTTGACTCTGGTGGTCCTGCGGCGCAGTCCTCGCCGTCTACCCCTCCCCCGGTGTCTCCTCCCCCACAGCCTCTGCAGCCGCCGTCGCCCCTGCTGTCGCAGCCGTCGTCTCCGCTGCCGTCGCCGCCGCACCCGTCGTTCCCGCCGCCGCCGCCACCGCCGTCGCAGCAGCAGTTCGTCGACTCTGGGGGTGCCCGCGTTGGGGTGGGTGCTAGTTCTGGGGTTCCTGTTGTGGCCTGCCTCGGTGGCCCTGGGGGTGGTATTGGTGCTCGGGGGGTTTCGGGCTCTGGGGGTGTTCCTTCTGAGGGTGCCGGAGTGGAGTGTCCCGGAGGTAGCCGAGGAGCAGCTTGCGGTCCCGGTGTTGGTGTTGTGCCGCAGCAGCAGCAGTCCCCGCCGGTGTCAGCCCTTCACCTTCTCGGCCTTCCGTCCCCTGACCCTGCGTCTGTTCCTCTCTTGCCGTCTCCTCCTCTTCCTGTCTACGGCCCTGTGTTCCCTCCGCCGGACTCGTCCCCGGCTCGTCTTCCCCCTCGCTTCCCCCTTGTGTCCCCTCCTCTGTCTCCTGACCTGACGCCTCCGTCTCACGTCTGGTCCCGCCGTCCCTCCCGCGCTCGTCCTGTTTCCCCTGTCACGTGCTCTCACCCTATGTTGCTCCGTTCCCACGCGTCCCGTCCTCCCCTTCTACCGTCGCCTCCTCCATCCTCTCTTACCATTGCGCCTCCTCCTCTGTCTGACTACATTCGTGCCGCTCGTCCTCTTGTTCCTTGGGTCCTTGCCTCTCTCGTTACCGACCCGTCTGTTCCGGTCTCGTGTCTTGACGCTCTTGTCGATGCGTTCGCTGACTTCGCCTCTACCCGCCGCCTTGACTACGCCACCGCTCTGGTCTCTGACCCTGCCTGTCCTCCGTTTGTCGGGGGTGCTCCTGCCCTCGGCAATGACGTCCTGGAGGACCGCCAGTTCGAGCTTGCTTTCCTGTCAGAGGCTGCTCCCCATCTCTGTTCCATGCTGCTAGTCCCTGAGGGTGACCCAGACACTTTCGACATCCCGACCCCTCGCACTTACGCTGAGGCGACCTCGGGACCTTGGGCCTCTCAGTGGATAACTGCCACTATCTAGGCTAGGTATATTTATACGTAGATTAGCTAGGTCATATTGTTTATAGCCTAGCTAGTTTAGTTCTTAGCGAGTACATCCCTAGTTTTGTATCCCTTGACATTTTCCCTTAGTCACGCTTTTCCCGCTACTCTAACAGAAAGAGCTAGAGAGAGCATGCCTTCTTTCACCTTGTTGTGCCACACACAAGAAGCCTGCCTGTAGCTGTAAACTGGTTATTTCAAGTTCCACACTATGTTGGGAGGGAATTCACCAAGACAACTTGGTGGGTGCTCCATGTGTACATCTTTCTTCAATTTGTATTACAGGAAAGTGGATGCAGCATCTACGAACTTGATCTCAAAGTTGCCTCGATGTGATATTTTCATGAGAGGATTTAGCTAGGTAGGAGAAAAGTGGCGAGAGAAAAGAGGTTGACTAGGAAAGAGATAAAGATACAAGAAGTGGGTTGTCCTCTCTACAGTAGGATTCAGTCAAAGTAATGCACCTACCTAGCCTACATATATATATATATATATATATATATATATATATGTTGACACACCCCATAGGCTTGGTAGGTGCTACTCACAAAGGCAAGAGACCAGGGCAGCACTACTAGTCTGTCCACTTCTGAGCACACCACAAGCCCAACACCCCCATACCCAGCAGCAGCTGTGGGATTCTACAGCACGTCGACCCCTCGGCAAGCGAGGCGGCGACGTCGGCGGTGGGGGTAGTGGCGGCGACGGCGGCGGCGGCAACAGCGGCGGCAACAGCGGCGGCGGGCGGCAGCGGAGCCAACAGCACCTGTGGCGGCGGCGACGCCCAAGGCACCCGCCGGCGTGGCACGCTTTGCATCGACGGGGGAGGACGGCACGAGACCGCCAGCAGCTGCAGCGGGGAAGAGGGGGAAATGCAGAGGAGGGGGAGGAGGGGGGGGGGGGGGGGGAGAGGAGGGGTGGGGGGGGTCTTCGATGGCGTCGCAGGTTAGCGAGCCGCCTTGGCTGGCGAGCTGGCTGGCGTGCGGGCCGCTGCCGTCCGTGCGCTGGCGCGTCGAAGCTGCCACAGCAGCATGACAAGGCTGCCACGGCCGCGTGACGAGGCTGCCATGGCAGCGCGTCGAGGCCACCATGGCAGCGCATCGAGGCCGCCATTGCAGCATGACGAGGCCGCCATGGCGGCGCGCCGAGGCCGCCACGGCAGCGCATCGAGGCCGCCATTGCAGCATGACGAGGCCGCCACGATGGCGCGAGAGTGAGAGAAGTGGAGAGAGTACGCTGCGGAAGCATGAGGAGAAGGCTAAGCATGATCAACCTGCTCTGATACCATATCACGAGAGGTTTTAGCTAGGTAGGAGAAAAATGGCAAGACAAAAGAGGTCGATTAGGAAAGAGAGAGAGATACAAGAAGAGGGTTGTCCTCTCTACAGTAGGATTCAATCAGAGTAATGCACCTACCTAGCCTACATATACATATATACATAAATATATATGTTGACTGATATATCGATAAGAATGGGTACAACCGGGAGCTTGGCAATGGGTAAGAAGGTATCAAAGAAGTCCAGATACAACTTATGGGTGAACGCATGGATATGGATGACATGAGTTAAAGCACTTTATGACGTCTGAAGAACAAAAACCGCGGTGGAATGGGTTATCCTAGGCTAGGAATCACACCATGCATGGTAGCCTCATAAGATATGGCTTGAATGTTGGCTAGGGGCAGAACATTGGGTCGATATGTGAGCTCAACTAGTACACCTAAATATAATAACAATGGACATCAGTGGAACTGAGTGTAGAGACTGGGAACATATATGAGGTGTATACTTTTTTAGAGACGGATTTGGTTAGTAAATAGCAAAGTAGCGAAGCTGGAGCAAGTATTCCTGAACTCTTTTCAATAGTAATGAATACATTCTATCCAACGAATAGTCTCGCATGTCAACTTATACATACGTTTATATGTAGAAGTTATAGGCTAGATAGGTTTGTGTTCATAGAGGATACAACTCGAACCCTATATCCTCCCCTGTACTACCTTGTTCTAGTTATTCTGCTATTCTAACATGGTATTATAGTAGGTTAGGTCCGCCCACCCGCTTCCGCCCTCGCCCTAGCCTACCACCCCGTCGTTCCCTTAGCGCGCCCCGCTAATTCCCTAGCGCCCCGCCGGCCCTTAGCGCCCCGCCGGCCCTTAGCGCCCCGACGACCCCTCACGCGCCCGCTGGTCCCTTTGCGCCCCTCGCACCCTGGCCTTCGCGCCCGCTGGTCCCTTTGCGCCCCATCGGCCCCTCGCGCCCCGCTGGTCCCCTTTGCGCCCCACCGGCCCTTAGCGCCCCGCCGACCCCTCGCGTGCCCCGCTGGTCTCTTACGCGCCCCGCCTGGCCCTCGCGCCCTGCTGGTCCCTCCTGCGCCCCGCCAGCCCTTAGCGCCCCGCCGGCCCTTAGCGCCCCGCCGGCCCTTAGCGCCCCGCCGGCCCTTCGCACACCCGCTGGTCCCTTAGCGCATCGCCGGCCCCTTGAGCCCCGCTGGTCCCTTACGCGCCCCGCCGGCCCCTCGCGCCCCGACCGGCCCTCGCGCCCCGCCTGGCCCTAGTGCCCTGCCAGCCCTAAGCGCCCCGCCGCCCCTTTCGAGCCCCGCCAGCCCATCACGTCTTGCCGACCTTCTTCCCTCTCTGCCAGCCCGTCGCGCTCTGCTGCCTCTGTGAACCCCAGCCAGTCGTTCTACACACCGCTGGCCGTGTAATCCCCGCTCGGTCTTCCTGCCGAGGAGTTCTGCCTCCGCGCCACTGTGCCGCTGTGTAGCCCTGACGTTGTGCCGTCGTGCCGCTGAGTAGCTGTGCCGCTGTGCCGCTGTGTCGCTGTGCCGCCGTGCCGCTGTGGAGCTGTGTCGCTGAGGTCGCACGATGGCGGACGCTGTATTCCGCCTGGACGCGGAGGGTCACGTGATCGACTTCGCCGCCTGGCTTGTCAATCTCTGCCGTCACCTCACAGGTCAGTGCCAGGATGTGCATGTTAATGGCTTGCTTCCCCGCCCCCCCACGCCTGATCCCCTCCCTGCTGACCCCACCACTGCTTAGCATGAGGCATTTTCTGCTGCTGCGCTTGCTCGCGCTGTCTGGGATTCCCGCGATGTTGTAGCACAACTAGCCATCACTCATGCTCTTCCCCTGTATGAGCGTCCGCGCTTCACTGCTGTCGCGAATGCCTAGGATTTCTTAGATGCAGTCATTGTGCGCTACTCCACGCCCGCCTCCGCCTCTGCTCGCCGCCTGATCATCCCCATGCTATTCCCTGATCTTACCGCTTTCCCCACTGTCACTGACCTACAGTATCCACTCACCTCCGTGCACTAGAGGCTAGCTACCGCGCCGCTACCACTGATGCCTAGCTCACTGCCTTCCCCCCGCCGTTCTGCGCTACTCTGTACCTCATTGCTATGCGCCTTCCGAACCGCTTAGCCACTGCCCGCGACCACTTCCTTAGTCAGCACCCAGGTGACCACACCCTTACCGCCTTTGTCACCGCCCTGTCTGACATAGAGACACGCCAGCGTACTATTGCTCAGTCGAGCGGTGCTGCGGCAGTCCCTATCTTTCAGGGCTGTGCGCCCTCCCAGTGCACGTACGTGGACGTTTCAGCTGCGCTCGCGGCGACTGCCCCTGCCGCTGAGACCGCAGCTGCCACGTCCCCGCAGCTGCGCCCGCGTCGGGGCCGTCGTGGCCCCAAGGGGGGGAATAGTATTGGGGGTGGTGGGGGTGGTGGTGGTGGTGGTGGTGGTGGTGGTGGTGGTGGTGGTGGTGGTGGTGGTGGTGGTGGTGGTGGTGGTGGTGGTGGTGGTGGTGGTGGTGGTGGTGGTGGTGGTGGTGGTGGCGCGGACAGTGGGTCTGACCATGGGATCGGGGCTGGTGCCCAGAAGCAGCAGCAGCCGCAGCCGCCGCAGCAGCAGCCATCGCAGCAGCAGCAGCAGCAGTCGTAGGCCTGCCTCCCGTCTGGGTGGCCAGGAGCCTCTGGCGGTGGTGGCCGCGGTGGCGGCCCTTGCACCTCGGTGTCGGTCGGCAGCTTCTGTGCTGTGAGCTGCCAATACCAGCTCCAGACCGGCCCCCTCTGCGGCACTGTGTGCCGTCGCCCGCACACGACCGCCCACTGCTTCCGCCGCCTCGACGACCTCTTTCGTCGCCGCTTCGGCCCGGCCCCGGACCTCCCTGATTGACCCAGTCTGCTGTGCCACGGTGTGCCTGTCTTTGAGTTAGACATTGATCTGATTTGTTCTGCTCTGCATTCTCTGTATGCTGATGCTCCTAGAATGCACGGATCTTATTACCCGGTGTTATCTAGTTTAGGTGTAGTACCTATTTGTAGTACAGAATTCCCTGTTGTGTTTGGCATAGGACCTTCTGTGTTGTCTAGCCTAGGCTCCATGCTCGCTCCTCCTCCGGCCATAGCTTCTGCTTTGCTCTCCTTTACACTTAACTCTGGTGCGTTTGCCTGCTTCTTTCGCGACCACGCCACACTCACGCCACTTGCAGCGCCTGCCGCAGTCGCCCTTGCTGACCCCTCCTCTGGTCCTGCCATTGCCCATAGCTACACTACCCTTCCTTGTCCAACGGTTCCCTCAGGTTCTCTTACAGGGCTGCACATCCCTTCGTTCTCCAGGAACCTAGTTGGTGTCAGCTGTCTTCAGGACCTCGGCGTCACCACTACGTTCCTTGGTCACGAGCGGTACGCTGTCTGTACCGAGGCCGCCTCAGGTGCCCCCCTTACGACGTTCCCCCGGGACCCGGTGTCTGGCCTGTTTACGCTGGACCCTGCTTCCCCTCTGGTGGGCGCGTCCTCCCTGAGTCCAGCATCTACCCAGGTCGCTACGGCTTGCTCGTGTCGGTCGCTCACCCACCCGTCGCTTCTGTGGCACCACCGCCTAGGTCACCCCGCACTCCCGCGTCTGTATCACATGTCCCAGCACGGTCTCTTCCAAGGTCTCCCTGCGTTGCTCCCTGCCCTCCCTCCCTTTCCTGCGCCGCCATGCACGCCTTGCGTCAAGGGCCGGCAGTGCTGTGCTCCTCACTCTTCCTCACTTCGCCCTACCACCGCGCCACTCTAGACCCTGCACCTGGACGTTTGGGGCCCAGCCCCCGTCCCTGGGCCGCGTCGCGAGTGCTACTTTTTCGTGCTCATCGACGACTACACGTGCTACACCACTATGTTTACCCTGGAGCGGAAGGCCGACGTGCCTGACGTTCTTATCTCGGGGGTCGTAGCTGCGCTCCTCCACCGCGGTCTCCCTGTGCTATGTCTCCACTCCGACCGTGGCGGCGAGTTCGCCTCTGGTTGGCTTGGACATTTCTGTACTGCGGAGGGCATCACCCAGTTGTACACCATACCAGATTCCCCTCAGTAGAATGGGGTCGCTGAGCGACGCATCGGTTTGGTCATGGAGGTGGCTCGTACCTCCATGATCCATGCCAGTGCACCCCATTTTCTGTGGCCGTTCGCCGTTCGCTACGCTGCTCACCAGCTTAACCTGTGGCCGCACTCCCAGCGGCTGCAGGTTTTGCCGACCCTTCTTTGGACCGGGTTCCCTAGTGACGCGTCTGCATTCCACGTCTGGGGCTGCCTTGCTCACGTTTGTGCCTTTGGCACGGACAAGCTCACTGCCCGCACTGTCCCCTGTGTCTTCCTCTGTTTCCCCCTTGACTCATCTGACTAGCACTTTTACCACCCCCGTCTCATCGTTTGTTTCACTCTCGTGACGTCATTTTCGACGAGTCTGTCTCCTTTTACCACCGCCTTCCCCACCGAGGTCTCCCAATTTCCCCGCCCCTGTTTCTGGTTCCCACTCCCCCGGTAGCCCCTGCTCCCCTCCCTCCCCGTCTTGCTCCATCTGGTGTGTCTCACGTCACTCCCCTCCCGTCGGTTGTCCCAGTCGGGGAGTCGGCTGACTCTGGTGGCCCCGCGGCGCGTTTCTTGCCGCCTGTTGCTTCCCCGGTGTCTCCTCCTCCGCCGTCGCAGCAGCCGCCACCGTTACCGCCGTAGCAGCAGCCGTAGCCGTCATCACAGCCGCAGCAGCAGCCGCCGCCGTCGCTGCCGCAGCAGCAGCCGTCCGTGGGCTCTGGGGGTGCGGGCATTGAGGAGGGTGCTAGTCCTGGGGTTCCTATCGTGGCTTGTCACAGCGGTCCTGGGGGTGGCACCAGTGATGGAGAGGGTTCTCGTTCTGGGGGTGCTCGTTCTGGGGGTGCTAGAGTGGAGTGTTTCGGAGGTAGCCGTGGTGCACCTGGCAGTCCAGGTGTCGGCGTGGAGCAGCAACAGCACCAGTCACCGCCAGTGTCCGCCCTTCGCCTGCTCGGCCTTCCCTCCCCTGACCGCTCGCATGCGCCTCCCCCGGCGCCTCCTCCCCTTCCTGTCTACGGCCCTGTATTTCCTCCGCCGGACTCGTCCCCAACTCGTTTCCCCCCTCGTTCCCCTCCTGTTACACCTCCTGTGTCTCCTGACCCGACGCCTCCGTCCCACTTCTGGTCTTGCCGTCCCTCTCGCGCTCGTCTTGTCTCTCCTGTCCAGCGCTCTCATCCCATGTTGCTCCGTTCCAAAGTTGGTACTTTACATCACTTTAGGTGACGTAAACGTACAGTACGCGTAACGTTACGTTTACGTTACGTTATGCGTTCGTTATGCGTACGTTATGTTTACATCGCCGGGCAGGCCTTGAAATTTTTTTATGGGCAAAAATTTTCCTTACGAAAACCGCATTCTACAACTACGCGATCTGCAACTACGCCTAGATTATCGCTGCCCACGGTTTGCACAGATCTACCCTGTCATGAACTATGGCGCACGTAGATTCGTCGCGCTGGTCGAAGGCGCGCTAATAGTCATAGGATGCGACTTAGACTTAATTTAGTTGCTACTGGAGATAGGGTAGTGACTGACATTCGTTGAGGAGGGAAGGGGAATTGAATGTCGAGGAGGGTTGGGTTGAGTAAAGTAGGGGTTGACGTTGACTGGTTGGAGTACCAGCACGTCAGATTTGGCGCGCACAAATCCGTCGACTGGTTGGATTGCCGGCGCGTCAAGTAGCGGAGATGGGATTTTGCATGTTATAAGCGTAGCACCTGTTGGAAACTTGGTATTTTGTGGATGTTTTTTATCTTCCTACGAAAAGATTTAATGGCCAATGGAAGTCTGTACAAAAATCTGCCTAGGGTTCCCTCTTCTTTTTTTCTGGACAGGTAGAAACATTTTAGCCTGCCCGTACATACAGGCCTAAAACCAGAATCGCGTAAACGTACGTAAGCGTAAACGTAAACGTAACGTAAGGAACCAACTTAGCTCCGTTCCCACGTATCTCGTCTTCCCCTCCTCCCCTCGCCTCCTCCATCGTCGCTCGTTGTCGCTCCGCCTCCTCTGTCTGACTACCTTCGTGCCGCTCGTCCTCTTGTTCCTCGGGTCCTTGCCTCCCTCATTACCGACCCATATGTACCTGTCTCTAGTCTTGACGCTCTTGTCGATGCCGTCGCTGACTTCGCCTCTACCCGCCGCCTTGACTACGCCATCGCTTCGGTCTCTGACCCTACCCGTCCTCCGTCCGTCCGGGGTGCTCCTGCCCTTGGCAGTGACGTCCGAGAGGAGAGGCAGTACAAGCTCGCTTTCCTGTCTAAGGCCGCTCCCCATCTCTGTTCCATGCTGCTAGTCAATGAGGGTGACCGAAACGCCCTTGACACCCCGACCCCTTGCACTTATGCTGAGGCGACCTCGGGACCCTGGGCCTCTTAGTGGATAGCTGCCATGGAGCAGGAGATGGCATCATGGAGATCCATTGGCACCTACGTCGACGCAATTCCCCCACCTGGGGTGAACGTAGTCGATGACCGGTGGCTCTTCAAGGAGAAGCGCCCCCCTGGAGAGCCGCATGTGTTTAAGGCGCGCTACGTTGCTAGAGGCTTTAGTTAGCGCAAGGGTGTGGACTTCGTTCAGACCTTCGCCCTGACCCCGAAGATGACTACTCTTCGGGCGCTGCTACATGTAGCAGCACATCGTGACTACGAGCTACATTCCCTTGACTTCTCCACAACGCTTCGTTAGTGCAGCCTATACGAGAAGTTCTACCTGCGCCGTCCATAGGGCTTCACCGGTACCTTCCCTCCTGGGATGCAGTGGCTCCTCCAGCGCTCGGTCTACGGCCTATGATAGGTGCCTCGTGAGTGGCACGACACTCTCCGTGCCACGCTAGCTGACCTGCAGTTCTTTTCGTCGTCTGCAAACCCCTCGCTCTTCGTTCGTGCTGGCCAGACCCCGTTCTACATCCTTGTCTACGTAGACGACCTGGTCTTTGCTACTGCAGACAAAGACGCACTAGCCTCCGTGAAGGTAGAGCTGCTGAGGAGATGCACATGCACTGACCTAGGAGAGCTGTGCTGCTACCATTGGTCTGCAGATCTCCAGGGACAGAGCAGCGTGCACCATCACTCTCACACAGTCACACTTGGTGCGCCAAGTCCTTCAGAGGTTCGGTCTTCACTTCTCCTCTGCACAGCCCACACCTCTACCAGTAGAGCACAGGCTCTCTGCTCCAGTTCCTGAGGAGTCAGTAGAGCCCAGTGGTCCTTACGCAGAGCTGGTGGGTTGCCTCATGTACCTGATGACTTGCACTCGTCCAGATCTCGCATACCCTCTCAGTATCCTGTCTTGCTTTGTGGTGTCAGGCAGACACCGGCCACAACACATGTCGGCCGCTAAGAGGGTATTGCGTTATCTAGCAAGTACATCGGGCATGGGACTCGTGCTGGGAGGACTCAGGCCAGTGGTCCTTATAGGGCACACAGACGCTTCGTGGGCAGACGACGCTGAGACACTCAGGTCCTCCCAGGGCTACTGATTTAGCCTTGGTTCAGGTGCCATCTCGTGGAGG